ATTCGATAAATTAATCCCATAAAACATTACAATCACATGTGTGTGCATGTATATGAGACGACTGCATAGCAAGGGAAAAAATAAACAGAAATCTAATCGATTGATGATTATATCATACTATCATTTATAATCTTGTATGTATTTACAGACATCCTTGACGCGACAGATTCTCTTTCCTTTTCGTTATATTGAAGTGGATGAATGGACATGATACTCATATATTCACTGAATGACCCGAGCTAGAGAGTTGAGTTTTTTTGGCTCGGAAATTTATAAATTTTCTTTAAAAGTTAAGAAAAACGTGATAAAAAGTCCAAAAAAAACATCATGGAAATAAAAACAGATTTTATTATTTTGAAGGAATCGAACCTCTGGACTACATTGAATTTAATGATTGCAGTGAATTCATTTATTCCTAAACATTTTCTTCATTAATAAAAATGACCAAAAATTCATTTGAGCAACTGTTTATTTAAGGTTAACCTTAGTTTTACAAAACTGGTTCTTTTGGGTCAAATACTCGATTTTAAAATTTTATAAATTTACTAGAGGCTCGTGCAATTTTTTGCACTTCGCAAATAAACGAATTTTTAGCGACTCCCCCTCCCCTCTCATATTATTAAAGTTGATCCCTTTCCAAACTATTCAAATTACTAACCCTTCCACATAACAAAAGCATTCATTTACCACGAAAAAAGAATAATCTCAAAAGCACATCTCATCAACAGCATCGATCATTTAACAAAGTTTTGCATATCTCGGGTTAATATGGATTTTAAAATAAATAAGCAGACACGGCTGAAGAAAAAGAAGCAAGCAAAGAGAATGAGAAAATAAGGAACATGTGAAAATGATTCATCATGATACATGAAAACATTTCAATTTATCTCTCCCTCATACATCATTCCAGTGATATTAATCAATTGCATTAAACGATAATACTAGAGAATGCAGAAAAAAAAGGTAAATGAGGGATAGAGAGTGAGAAAGAGCGACAGAATAAAAAAAAATTGTTTCGCGATATAAAAATTAACTGTTGCAATAAGTTAATGTAACCTTATATTTTCATTACAATTTACAATTGCGCACATGTGCATTTCGTTTTCTTTCTCATCTTACAATAAATTACATTTAAATGTTTTTTTTTATTCTCTTTCGACTTATTTTTTTTCCACTTCACATTCGCTTGCTTGCTGCACTTGTAATGATGCTGCATTATTATAAATGTTTATTAAATATAAACGCATGTTTAATGAGTATAAAAATTAAAGTATAAAGGGTATCGAATGCGAAATACGGCAGCAGTTTATGGTAAGAAAAATTGTTAGGCTTTATCACTTAAACGTGGGATTGGAGGATGACTTAATCCCAGTTGGAATAAAATGTTGGTCTTTTTCTTGATTTTGGTCTGTAATTTGAGGGTTAGATAATCATAAAAAGTTAAAAAAGAAACACGTAAACGCAAATTCAATCGATTACTTGACTTAGGAATTGAACCTTAAACCTTATTGATTTTTGTACGAAATTACATCTTTTAAATTTATTTTACATAAGAATTACTGCTTAATTTAACATTTAATGTAATAAAAGCTCGAATCACTACCTTTATCTGACTACACTACTGCCCATGAGTCACATTAGCTAAAGATTGCTAAATCCTATTAGCTATATATCCACATAAATTAAAATACAAATTATATTATCCTATTAATCCAATTTCAATACCCGTTGAGTACTCTAGATATTCTACAAGCTTAAAGAAACTAAAACTAAATCATCTCAAAGCGAGAAAGCCTTGACTGAGTCAATAAAAAATCAAAAGTAAAGTAATTAAGTCGAGAAAGCTTTAAAAATGACAAGTACAACTTTTTTACTTTATTTTACATCTGCATGCACCGATAAGCAGACAATTATGACGATTTGTTTTTGCGGCTTGTTTCACTGAAATAAAATCAGACTAAAGAGACAAATCAGTTTGTACATACATATGTGTAGCTGTGCCGCAAAACAGCGGAAAGAAATTGAATTCGAAAGAGAGGAAGAAAAATTGTCATTTGCTCTCGAATTTCACATTTCAATCCTTCTCAATCAAGATTAATGCACAATTTTTCCGCTCGCTTTAACGTCTACATCGATTGTGCCTCTTGGTGTGTATGAAATTGCTGAAATATCAAGTCCACAATTTAATTATTGCATATAGCAACCGCCTATGACTACTCGAAATGGAATGGAAATGTAATATGCGTATGAATCTCAATTTAGCTATGTGCTCACATTTGCAAATGCGAATAGACAGAAAAAAAGTTAAATAATTTTTAAATCATTTTCACTTTTCAAAAGAGGTGAATTGTGAAAAAAAATTACAAGTTTGTGCTGATTTTACGGTTAAGGCGCATTCTTTAATTCCTGAGAGTATTTATAAAGAGCCGTTCACTTATGACGTCCAGGGAAGGAGGACACGAAAAGAACAATAATAATTTCAAATTCCTGGATATCCATTGACCTTTTTTTGAAAAATGACCGTTTATTTCAGAAGTCATAAGTGAACGAACCCCCAATTTTTTAAAAAAAATAAGAATGTTTTTAGCATCATTGATAATTGCATGAATAAATCATTAAATATTCAGAGGATTCGAACCTTTTCATTTTCATTAAATTTTTGATTCTATATATTTTTGACTAATTTCTATAGTTGATAGATTAGCAAAAACACCATTTAAGAAATTGACTTATTTTTAAAGAGATATTTGAAAAACTTGAGCCAGATTTTAAAATCTACCTTGGACACCGTACCCTGGACTCAGATTAATTGTATTTATATTCTATATTCTAGTACATCTAATTTGATTTCTGACCTAGGATGCCTTATAGACCCATAAACCGAACTCAGCTGTCCCATCAACTAAATCCCACCACTAAATCTTATCAACAAATAATTCCAAATTGTCTTCAAACCGCTTATTCAACCATCAAACTCTTTAAAATTCAAGCAGCAAAAAAGTATAGTCACATTTTGTAAAACATGATTTTAATACACAAACGACATCTAGAGAGAGAGAGAGCTAATTCAATTAGAGGATATGAATTTATAGAGTACATATGTGAAAACAAATGTAGCCATATTTTTCATCGGCTAATTGAAATCACATTAGTCACACTTCAAACAACATGTCAATAATTTTATTTTAATTGATCGACTAAAACTTTTTTTTTGTGCGCTGTGCAATTTTTTTTAAAGCCGATTTTAATTGGAGTAATATTTAATTTTAATTTATATTGGTAGTTTAAAGTCACATGTTTTTTTTGTTCAGAATAAAAATAGCATACGTGGATGTCTATCATATCCAAATAGCACAAAAACAAATTTTAGCCAGTTTTAAAACAGCATTTTTAGCACATTTCAAAATGCCTGCATGTCAACACTTACGATGACGGTTTAATTACTCGCGATGTTAAAAGCAACATTAATTTGACTTTAACACGAACAGAAAAAATTTTTCATCATGTTATCTGAGTCCGTTATTAATGTTCATTAATGTGTAATAAAGCACATCATAAGCTTTTAGAAAAAAGATGTCGTTAAGCTTCGAAATTAATGAGAAATGATGAAAGTATGTGATGAAACATGAGTAGTTCTTGATAAAGTGTGGTTTAGTCACCTCTTGGAAATTGTTTTGTGTCAAATGCTAAGATCAGCTTCATAGGAAATGGCTTTGAGGTTATGGTATTCGCCAATGGGTGCCTACAACAATGTAGACCGTTATTTTTTCTAAAATTCAAACCTGTTTCGAAAAAATTCCAAAAATAATATTTTATAAAAAATTTTGAAATTTTAAAGACAGTTAAATTTATGAACAAAAATCAATTCTTCGATGCAAATTTGTTTTTTGAATGTAATTGCAGTGAACTTACTATGGAAGGATATGCATTGTCAGTTAATCTTACTCTTGAGTTGCTTTTAATAATCATATCATCTTTAAAATGAGAGTCACATAAATATATTTCACTTCCGTCGACACTTATGTTGTTTGATTTTAAAAATAACAACCATTTATCTTTGTTTAATGAGTGTTTAGGTACTTTAAAAAGATTTGTAATTGTTTTATTTTTGTTGCAGCTTGCAATTTTGCAGGTTTTACCCATAATTAATGAAAATTAATCAAAATTTTACTGATGTAAACAATAATTTTTTGATGAAATATTTTTAACGGAATTTCATTTTTTGAAAAAAGTTCAAATTCGAATTTTCGATTTCGAAGAATAAGGACCATTTTCGAAGAATAAGAACTATCGGCACCCATTGGGGTATTCGATTATACAGTCAGCAGTCCTAGCTTGATGAATGATCTGTCTGGTCGGGTTGTTTCTTTTCACTTAAGACACTAAGACAGTGTATTAGCTATCCAACTTAATCTTTGCTTAGTTATCGCACATAAGTTGTAAATATTTAATTCTAAAATCAAGAGGGTATCGAGAAATTTTCAAATTTGGAACCGATTATTTAAGGGAAGGAAGGCTTTTTTTTAAAAAAAAAATTTGAATCTTTGCAGCAGTGTTTTCCAAACTGTGTGCCGCGGCACATTAGTGTGACGTTGAAATTTATTTTAAATGACGCGAGCCTCATGCTGTGTGCGACTTTGGTAATGGCTTACCCCAAAGGTGAACCGTGGCTCAAAAAAGTTTGGACAACACTGCTTTACAAGATTGGAACTAAACCATAGCATCTAAAATCTCTCAGATCCACTAAGGTCAGAATCTAGTGCTAAATGAGACACACTACCTTATAGATTTAAGATGAGGGTGTCAAATTTACCCTTAACCCTAGAATAGACCCTTATTTTGCTTATAAATTAGCTAAAATGATTGGACAGCATTAGTGCATAGAAGGCAGTAAGCATTAATTTTGGAATCAAAAGTTTAAACAGCATGAATTTAAAATAATTATCAGTTGATCAGTTTCTGCATCAACCTAAAAGAATTAATTTTAAATCACAAAATTAGCCATCAAATAATTTTTAAAAATCCAAAAATAATCCTAAACTTCTCCGTTCTTGAATTGCACAACTTAATTTAAATAAAATTCAAATTTCAAGATGTACGCGTCTTACGAAACAATGCAACTCTTTCCTCATATAAACTTAATGGTTCCACATTCTTTTCTACCTTCTCTGCCTTTTTCTTCTCAAGTATTTTAAGTTCTTCTTCATATTTTCGCAATTTCTTATCAAGCTTTTGATTTTCATCCTTTAGTATCGCAACTTCATCTTTCTTTTCATTCAATTTCTCGTCCATTTTATCATAATCAATCATTAAACTTCGTTCGGAAAGCAGCTGCCCTTTTATGTAAATGTCGTTCAATTTACTTTCAAGCTGCTTTTCGAGGCTCTTTAGCTTTCTTGATTCGTTGAATAATTTTGCATTTTCTTCTTTAAGGTTATGTAGAGTTTCGTTTACTTCTTGTAGATTTGTGTCTAGTTCTTTGAGATTTTGTGTGTATTTTTGATCATCCTTTGTGTCTTTTTTAATCCGCATCCTCATTTTTTCTAAAATTTTATTCTTAGCATCAATATTCGATGTAACAATCTGAAGCTTTGTTTTTGTATTTTCATAGTCAAAAAGTGTCAATCCGTCGCCAATTTCTTCAATATCTCTCTCCTTGTCTACATATTTAGCTATCAACTGTTGTGTCTTGAAGTTTGCCATACGAAGTTTTGATACTTCATCGTAGAAATTGAAGAACGTATTGAGATGCTTTTTGATTGATTTTTCAGATATTGGATGAGTTGTTTGGACTTCTTGAGCTTTTGAATAGACTGTGGCTTGAAAATCTAACAAAACATTTGCAAAACATAAAAGATTATGTTTTGAAAAAGATTAAAAAATATCGCATTTTGAAATAATGACATAAATTTCTAGATAAATGATTTTAGGATTTGAACCTAAGTTTCCTTTTTGAATTTACTGAATTCGATCATTTCCTCATTTTAACTTCAAAAGATTGACGCAAAAGATAAATATTAACTTCAATTCTTATTCAGCTAGCATTAATAGACTGTTAAGTAAGGGGCCGTACACTAGTTACGTAATGTTTTAAAATGGACATTGGTTTGACATTTTGTGAATGTTCAAATAACAAAAGAGCCATTTTTCTTGTGGCAAGTTTCAATATAAATCTTACTAACCTTGTAAACAAGCATTCTTCATCTCAATCAATTCCTCCTTTTTCTTTGAATTCACCATTTTTTCAACATCATAAGCTTCCTTCATCGTTTTAATTTCCTGTCTTAATCCATGAATCTTTTCTAAATTCTGATAATATTTCTGATAATAAGCATCGTCTTGCCCATCTGAATCGTCCTCGAATGCTTTCTTTATTTTTCTATTAAGCAGGTATGTTTTGAGACTTTCATTCAATTGTCTGTTTCTTCTTTTTTCATTATGAAAATTATTAGCAATTTCTTTGAAATAGTTTATTAAAATTGGACGATCAGCTTCTTCTAGCTCTGGAAATTCAGGTTGTTGAGGATCGTATGCAGGCACTGGCTTTTTCAATTTGTAAGTTACTTTTCTCAACTTCATTTTAGGCTTCTTTTTAGATTTTTTCAGGTTATCCTGTCCATTCATCGATTTCAGCTTTGCTTTAAAATCTTTAAGCTTTAATTCTAAATCCATTTGAGATTCACTAAACTTTTCATTTTCTTTCATCAAACGAACAACAGATTTACTTGATAAAGATGAAGATGTTTGTGGCTTTTCATTGATGCTTTTAGTGTTTGAGACGTTAAAAGTGACTCGTTGATTCTTTGAATATCTACTTTGATCTCTAGCTTGTTTTAATATGGAATTAATCTCTTCTGCGATTTCATCTCTGTTGAAACTGTTGGAATCCTCCATTGCTGAATTGAGAATTTTGTTGTCTGAATAAATATTTTAAATTCAATGTTGTCAAAATGATTTGATGATTTTTGAAAGTGTTGAAGGTTGCTTTAATCAATTCATTCTTAAGGAATCAAGAAATATGACTACATATCTACAATATGATAATAAAATGTACCTGAGGCTAGAATAGATGCTCTGAGTGGCTCTACAAACTGGAATCAAATATAAAAGCTGAAATTCAACTGTCTTTTTAAAAATAAAACGATTTTAAGTTGGGAAACATTTTCTTAACATTGCCACTTTACATGTTCTATTGCCATAAGACCGTTAAAGCTGAAAATTTTATGGCAACAAACATTTTTATCTTACAATCAATTGCTTCAAATTCTTTCATACAATAAACTTGCATGCAAGTTTAGTACAAAACTTTTCAAAAATTTTCTCAACTGAAATTTTTGACATTAAACCACGTGTTTGATTAAAAAGACATAATGCCTTATTTTTATATGACTTACGTATTTATTTTTCTTCATATTTTTCATTTTTTACGAGAATAAAAATTAAAGTACAATGAATAAAGTTTTTTTTACATTTAAATAATTTTTCTTCTTATTTCTTTATTAAATAAATTTTTATATCACCCTGCTTTATATCTTCACAAAAAAATTGTTTCAATTATTTCGTCATGTGCAAATAATTTGTAAAGATTTATTTTTTGAAGTAGAAAAAGAAGAAAAATTTAGCGAGAAAAATTTAAAATTGAAAAAATGAGGAATTTGGAACCAACAGAATAAATAATTCATTCAAATTTCCTCATTCTCATCGTCACAAAAAAAAAGCATGCATAAATGTAGGATAAATTTTTTAAATTTTTCTCTCTTTTTGGCACTTCCAAATTATCCATTTAAATAGTTACTAAGTAAATTAATAGTAGGTTAGTAGATTTTACGTATTTTGTAATAAAATAATCAATAAAAAGTTTCACTTTTCATCTACAGATTCAATTGTTTTTCCATGTAAAATTTGCGAAATCTAACTACAACGTTTATTAAATAACTTCTCAACGTGATTCCACAATTCCTTGTCTTATTGAATCTATGAAGATTTTTTTTTAATTTTATAGGAATTTTGTTTTGGGGGTCGTTCAACAGTGATGTTTGTTAATAAGAGTTTAAAGCACCTCTACCGCATTTGTCATTAATTTTGAAAAAATTACTAATGTGAGATGGCTTAAGGTTCTATAAAACTCATAAACTATGGGCATCATAAGCAATTAGCATTAAAAACAGTGACTTATAAGATCCTTCAATTCCTGGCAAAGAATCAATGCTAATTTAACGAGTTGACACCTTGTTGCTGCTCTGTCTGTTGATTCTTACTTTTTTTCCTGTCACAGCATAATCATAACTGCACCATCTTCATTGAAGAGGCTTCATGACTGTAATCGGGCTAATAACCACAATATTGACTGAGCAACACATCGGATACTGCTTCAAAAACTAAGCCTTGTTTATCGTTCAGAATTTTTGATTCAAAACACCATCAACTGATGCTTAAAAATCACATTTCATTCCAAACATCACTTTTGAATGCACCCCTCTCTTAATAGAAAGCCAAAAATAACTTCATCAAAATTATAAAAAATTAATTTTCTTAATCCTAAAGGTAATGTAAGTACGTTTCTAGGTAAATTTCCATCATCATTAAGTTTCTTAAGGTTGTTGATTCAGCAGTAATTGCTCAAGCTCATCAGCAGATCGAAGTAAAAATGCCGCAGCTTCTCTATAGCCTGTAATTAGTTGCTTAACAGCTGCTGCCTCTGTAACGTTCAAGTTGTGTGGTAAGAGAGGACGTTTGACAGACAAATCTGTTGGACCTGAGAGAATGGAAAGGAATTTTAAGTTAGAATATGTTTAGCTTTGCTGATTGATGTTAAATGAAGGAACTAATTTACCTTGAGACAATCCTGATGTCACCATTGAATTATTGTAAAATGGTGAACTATTTTTCTGCATAAATGCTTGTCCAAAATCATAAGGAGTCGTTGTCGTTGGCAATGTGACAGGTCTCGATGAATTCAATATTGAGCTGTAAATAAAAAGTTGAAGAGGGTGATTTTTTTTTCAAGGTCAAGAGAAATTTATGAGGTAAATATGAAGATGAGTTTTAAAGTTGAAAGGGGGAAGTTTTCATTCTTTTTCATTTTTAATGGTGATTTGATGATTATTTGAGATTTTGTGATTTTTGAATTGAATGTTAAATGGATATTAATATTAAGTATTCAATTGAGGAGGGGGGGGGGGGGCCCTTCTTCCCCGCGATTTTAAGACGAAATCAAAAAATAGCTTTTTCAAATTGCTTCAGTACCAAGTCTATAAGGGGCCATTCACTTATTACGTAACGCTTTTAGGGGGAGGGGGGGGACTAAGATTTTGTTACGGTTCAAACAAGGAAATTTTTTTTTCATACAAATTTTGTTACGAGGGGGGGGGGGGTCTAAGAAGTCATTTTTTCGCGTTACGTAATAAGTGAACTGCCCCTAAGCTTATCTACCCAAAAGCTTATAAAACTCAATCAATCTCTGATTCTTCCATTCATTTCCATTCCAACGCCTCCCCAATCTGCCTTTAACTTTTGCAAAAACTATCCGATTTTGCTGCTCTAAGATAAAAGTCATTTGAGATTTTATAATTTGAATGTTGAGGAGCAGCATTATCATTGCATTATCGGTTTCATTAAGGACATAGGAAAGAGAACTTAGGATGATACATATCGCAGTGCCGTTTTTGTTTGATGCAAACCCCTACATTACATTCTATTCTAATGTCCTGAAAAAGAATTAAAATATGCACATTTGTCTCAGAAAAACAGAAAAAAAAATCATGTATCCTTTCAACCCCTTCTTCTGATAAATTTTAGGAAAAAAATGCAACATCCTTCAAAAAACAAATTTTGATCACATTGTAATAAAAAAAAAGTTCCCATGTATTGGTGTGTGCATTTGTGCATAAATTTCAACGAGGGTTTGAATGTAATTTTTTCTAAAACTGACCCTCTGCATTCATCAGATTTGTTCTCTATTTTCTGAGCTAGCTTGAGGGAATGAGAATGTCGAAATTTTGAAATTCTACAAAATATTTGTCACAAAAATTGGAACGTCTCTAAGAATCTCTCAAGCATTTCTATCTGCTGAGTCAGCAAAAAATCTCCATTCCCAGATCGAATAATAATAACATTCCAACTTACTTTATTGAATTAGCATTTGAATCAGTTGTCGTTGAGATAATCGGTTCACTTTTACAAATTGCGACATTTGTTGAGATCGAGAGCGGTTGTGTAGGATCAATTGATATCGTTGATGACGACGATGACTTGGCCATAGTATACAATGATGGTGCACTTTGTGAATCATTTGAATGTGATGATGGAATATTTAATGACTGACTGATTGGCTCCATACCAAGTCTCATACGTTTTGCATTTAAACTCTCATTTTCACATGCCAGTGACAGTATTTGTTCTGCTTGAACGGACGTTAAATGTGCTGGGGTTGGACGTGACGGTTGATTTTCCCAACCATCTTTCACCTTCTTATTCCGTCGACATGATTTTAGGTACGTACGAAGACGTTTTCGTGCGCGCTCCGAAAAGTCTGGAAATTGTCGTGCACATGAATCAATTATCGCTTGAACTTTTTCCTTTGGCTGTTTCGATATTGGCACCATTCGATCTAAATTCTCATCTACAAATAGCCTCACGAACATCTGTAAATGAGACCAAAAAAGCATAAAAGTTTATTCATAAATAAAGTTTGACGTTTGTGTTTATTTTAGCCTTACATTGAATGCCTTGAGTCTCTCAGGATCGTATGATGCTTGGTCGATTCTTTCGTCAGATTCATCCTCCGATGCTTCATCTTCCTCTTTATTATCCGATGGTGAATTCGCGTCTTCTTGACTGTGAGATGGTGACTGTGGAATGAGAATATTTTTATGGTTAAAAATAGAAGTTTGAAATTTTGTTTGGTCAATGAATTTTTATTGTTTTGAAAAACAAGTCAGAAATTATTTTTGGATGGCATTTATGCATTTATATGGGTTAATTTGGTGAAATTATTTTATTACCAATAGAATGAGATTAAAAGTAAATTATTCAGAAAATTTTTCAGCAGTAGGTTTATGTTATTTGTGGGTTTAAGTTGAAAATTCTCGATTCAAATTAGAATATCATAGATTTACATTTAATTTGGTTTGAAATGGTTTTGTATTGAAGGGAAAATTTTGAGTGAAGATTCGGAATTTTTTTCTCAAAAAATTCTAGAAAATTGAAGAATTTTTTTCAAAATAATGGGATTGGACCCGTGCCACCCCATTCCTCTGGCTAGATCCTTGATAAGTTACGTATTAAATTGTGGAATATCGAGTAAAATCAAAACTGACTATCCTCTATAGCACCTCTATACATAGCTATTTCCAATTTTCTATCCAAGTCCAGAATAATCACCTATTTAAATCTAGTTAATATTGAAATTTTAAAAATCAAAAAAAAAAATCAAGCAGTTAAATTGAATTATTTTAATAAGTCTTCATTAGTTAAATCACTGAAGGTTCTTTTTCGAATTACCTATTAAATTAAGCATCAAGAAGTCCCATTCGATTGGAAAATTTTACTAATGGTGCTTGTCAAACTGTAAAAATTGGCATTTCCTCAATAAAATTGGACTTTCAATAAACTTTGTTAAACTCTACATTTTTCAACACTTTCATGAAAATTTATAATTTATAAAAAAAACCTCAAGAACTGCCCTAAATCAACGTGCAGTTTTCCATTCTACGATCGTTGTAATCACTTGATTTAACACATTTTACATATAAAGAAAATATATTCTCCACAAATCTCAATGACCAAAGTACAACATCCTTAATCTCTTTAAAAATCACACAAAAAAATATACTCACAGGTGATCCAACCATCGCACCATCACTAGTTTTATTAACATTAATTCCAGTCAATGCATTTTGATACTGCTCCCATAAATTAGTCATTGTCGTGAGATCCGGTCCATTAGCATTATTTCGAATAGCAGCCGAATTCTGATAATTCCATGCTAACAACATTAATTTCAGTTTATCCGCATCCTTCAACAGATTTGCATACGAATCCTCAGCATTTAAATTTGTCTCGTGATTTTCACTTTGCGATGAAATCGAATCCTTTTTTTTCATGAATGAACGAATGAATGGCGTGGAGTGAATGAATAGGAAAATAATAAAATCATCATCATCATCCAAATATTTGTGTGTGTGTGCGAATGCGAGTAAATATTGTGTGTGGTAACAGCGTGAGCGTGAAATGAGAGGAGAGCAAAAAAAGAGAAAAATAAAATTTAAATTTTTTTTATTGTTTTCACTCGTGTTACATTTTCAGTGTCTGATAATAAAAAATAATAATAGGAAAAAAATGAGATATTGAGTTCGGTGTGAAGCACATCACAAAAAAGAATTTAACGCTCAATAAAATTCACCTTGTGCAACATGGCACTTGCTTTACGCTTCGCAGCCATCAATAATAATGATGATTTAGTGGCTTTGAGATAATTTTCACTTTTGCTTTGCGGTGTTGCTTTGCGGTAAGCTAGAATTTTCAATGATTTTTTTGGAATTTCTTCTTAACCTTGACTTTTTTCACATAAGTTTTCACTTAAAGTTCATCCAGAATTTTTAATGTCGTCTTGAAAAATTGTTTTGACCACAGAATGCACAAGATGTGATCACAAGACTCAATATTGTCACCCAGGAACCAAATAGTAAATCCTAGGTTTTTCAAATATTCCAGAATATTAAATATTGTCACAAAATCACTCAAACTTTATTCCAAAATCACTTTTTTGAATATTCCTTAATTATTTATCATTCCTCACAATTTTCCAAATTTATTCCTTCAATAAACAAAAGATTTATTAATCCACAGTTCACAAATTTTCCATGCCATTACAATTTATTCAAGCATTTAAAATATTAATTTCCTCTTCAGTGATCAGAATTCATAAGAAGGATCACACAAAAAAAATATTGTCTACTGTTCTCTATGCGCTCCGTAATGTATGTGTTTCGATCGCAAACACCAAGTTTTAACTGACCAAAACAAGAATTTTGCACCCTCTATATATTTTATTATAAAAAAGAAGAAAAGAATGAACGGAAAAAAGAAGGAGAACGTATCTATCCGTATTATGTACGTATATATCTTTTTTTCCAAGAGCGAGTAGTCCTTTCTGCCTTTGCCTTGTGATATATATCCTCCTTTACTCTACACCACCATCACCCATCACCCATCACCGAATACAGAATGAAAAAAAAAAATACTTCCAACATTCAACATTTTTCGTTCATTTCTCTCCCGCACACTCTACACACTCTATATTTTTTTGCTACTGCTGCTTTTGCTCTTCTCTTGGTGTGTAGAAATATATATATTTTTTTTCTGCTGTTCGTTTATACGGATGTGTACTCACTCACCCGCCTTTTTCTGCTTTTCTACTGTTATACCAAAGCACACAACACTATACGTCCCCTTCTTCACGAATTTTTTTTTCTTCCTTTCTACTCTCTTCTTTTTCAGCACCCACACCCCAATCGTCGTTGCTGATTCTCTGCCGCACTACTCATCCCACGCGTATACACCACATCTATTCCATTTCTCTATATCCGACACACAGTCAGCAGTCAGAAAATGTGCTATAGGAGTTCTTTCCTTTCCCTTTTTTCCTTCTGCTTTTTTTTCTACTTCTTTTTTGTATCTTTGAGTGAGACATATAATTTTTGTACTCGATGATGAAAGGGGTTTGTTGGATAGTTTTGGGGATATTTAAGGAAATAAGTTTATTTTTTGAGAGGAGATGAATTAAATGAAAAATATTTTGGACAATTTATGGATGATTAATTTTGGAAATCATTTGGAATTTGAAGTATTCTGTCATGTGTAAGTGATCCTGTTGAATGTGAAAATATATCTTTGTGGTTGAATTGTTAGACAGTAGGCACCAGACTGCAGATCTGCAATGTTATGATTCAAAGAATCGTGAGTTCGATTCCTACTAGACTCATCTTTCAATCAATTTAACCCTGCTTGGAATCTTTGATCTTAGACTCTTGGCCCTACTAGGGTTTATTGAATGGGCCTAGAAACCAGCCTCAAAAGATCGAATTTCTACAGACCAAAATTATGTTTCTATCCTCAATGTACCCACCAACCCTCCAACATCACTAGACGAGTACGATCACTAGTACAATAAAGAAGAGAAACACACAAAAAAATTCAAACAGAGCAATTCCTCGTCTTTTTTACGTATTTGAACAACGACTCAACTCTCTACTCGTACACATGGGTTTTCATCCCCCAAAAAACAACGTTTCCCTTCGTTCCTTCTTTCGACATCATCATCTTCAGAATGTTATGGGGATCAAATGAACAAGAAGAAAACGAAAAAAAAGCTCAGCGTTAGTTCTTCTTATTCCTTTCCTACTTACTATCATCGTTTCATTTTCGTCGACATAGTCATGGAGAGGAATGAAAATGAAAAGGAGGATGTAGGCGAGTGAGAGAAATGGAAAGAGAATGAGTGAGTGACAGAGCATGTTAAAGAAAGAAAAAAGGAATTCTAAGGAGAGGAGGAAGTAGATAGAATGGGTTAGAAAAGCGGCAAATGTTAGTTTCATCATGCGATGATGCTCAAGGTTTGAGGGAATAAAATATTGGGAATAACATCCATGAGATGATTTTTGTATACAATCGTCCCACTCCCCAACCCATCACAGAGGGTGCTATCCAATTTTTTTTTCGTTCCTTTCATTTCCCATCCTCCTGGTCTGTACCGATGTTTCTCCCACATTTTGCGCGCTCAACGGTACCAATTTTTCGATCTATCTTCTCTTTGGTTTTGAAAATTTTTACGTCCCACTATGATGAGGCGAGCATTTGTGTGCTGTTTCGATATTATACAAAAATTGAGAATGGTGAAATGGATTGAATGGGTATAAATTTGGTATGAGAATTGAACGTGGATGGATAAAAAAAAGAAGAGAGATCGAGAATGCCATACTGGGAAAATATAACAACAACAACATCATATAATGTTATGTGTGCGGAAAGAGATGGGGCCGCTGGCTGTGTATAGTGTGTTGGAGTCAAGGGTTGGAAAGAAAATTTTTCTCAATTCCATCACTTGGTTTTTATGTTCTTCATAAATTCTTGTTTATGTTCAATAAGATGACTTGTTATTGACTTCATAAAGCTAATGTAGATGAGTTGTGGATCATAGGGTTACTAATTCTATTACGGGTATGGTGTAGAGGTTGATTTTAGATTTGATTCTATTTAAGTGGATGTTGTAGGCAGTATAAGCGACTACTTAGTACTAATCCAATCTAATTTCTTTGAAACTTAAATTCTGAGCAATTTTCCACAGTCCACATAGAATGTTTTCCAAACAAACCCATTTGTTATCACCCCTTGCTATTTATTACGATGTAATTTATATCTATCGCGATAATCTATTAACTATCATTGTAATGACATAAAAATTTGTTGTAATAGGTTCACAATGTTATTCAAATTCCGTTACTTTATATTTCCACACATACAGCACTGCTTTACATTCACTTAAATCTCACAGTTTTTTCATCAAAATTCCAATCCTTGATTTGAGTTAAAAAAGTATTCACAATCCAAGAATAACAGTGTATAACACACAGCAACGATCTATCTCGTATAAGAAGCAACGAGTATAAGACTTCTATGGAAATACCTACAATGTTCGTTCACGTCACAATCGAAACTGCCAGGAAAGTATTTTTTTTATATAATTTTTGTGTGAGCAATTTTTTTTTTCCTCTTGTGTGCCGATGATGATAAACAACAGGCACACACAGGCGGTAAACTTCTTTCTTTTCATTCTTCCTATATTTCCATCGAAATTTTCATCCATCCATCCATGTTCTATGTGAAGTGAAGTTCGACATGCGAAAGAGCGAGAAATATATTATGTATTGTCAGTATAAATACACACAAGGAGTGTGTATATGGAAGACTATAGATAGATATTGTTGTTGAGACATGAGGCATATATAAGTGAATGAGTAGTGGGAGCAGCAGTACCGAAAAAAAGCCTCGTAGCGTGTATACACTGTTGTATTCGCTCTACATTGAATACATACGGCACAACTGAGTCATGTTATGCTTTTTTTTTTGTATGTACATATATGTATGTACCCCGTAATCATCATTTAAATCATCATCATCGTCATTGAGGGCGAAACAATAATAGCAATTTACCTCATACCTTTCGATATGTTCCTCTCTCATATGCCACAACACCCCCCAATATTCCCGCATTTTGAAGCGGCACTGCTTCAATTTTCCTCCTTTTTCCCATTTTCCATGTTGCTGAATACGCGAATATGTGTATATTGTCGAGTATAACGTTAGTTCTCTTTTTCATTTATACACAATCAAGACTAAAACCTAAAAAACCATCACTATATACAGCACCGTCACTTCAAAAAAAAACCCACCCTCGTTGTCGCTTACTTTTTGCTATTTTTCACCCCTTTTTCCACTTCTCTCTATCTGTATGTTCCCTTTTTCATACCCATTTGATGAAAATTTTTTCGAGAGGAACATTGCTTGTTGTATACATCACAAAACTCTATAGCACCGAAAGTTTTTAAGCATCCCATTCTATTCAACACAAAAAAAAATATATTTTTCAGATCTCTCTTGCCTCATTTTGATGTTGTGCTGTATGTACAGCTATAACGGCAAGTTTGCCACTTTTTTCTATCCTTTTAACCATTCAGCTCCAGCATGAACATTTTTTTTTCTATTGCCACGAACGAGAAAATGAACTTTTTTTCATAATATTATATCGTACCGCTTCCACTTCTTCTGCCTCCATTCATTTCATTTCATTTTCATGTTAAATTCCAGATTCCTCGCTTATTTTTTCCTTTCCTTCATATCGCCCTGTGCTCTATCTCACAGTGATGCTCCAATGCTGATATTCGAAGTTAGCACACATCAAATAATTGAAAGCGGTGTACAAAATGCTTTTTGTGGAGTTGATGGAATGACGCATTTTTAAAGGGAAAAAAATTAATCGATCGTTATTGATGAGTTGGGGGTGGGGTGGCACTGGATGAAAATGAGTGGAGTT